AAATAAAATTAAGTAAATACAATACTTAAAATTCAATTATCGAACTTAGATAAGGGATTGAGTTGTAAAAGTTTTTAGAGGGAATAATTTTTTTTCTGCAGATAATTCATATTTAAGTTGTTCGAAATACATTTGCTCTGAGCGTGAGGACAATTTTTTTTTTGTTGCCAGGAAACTATTTTGCGAAATAAGAATATTGATTGTTAGTGAGAAGTAGAACAGTATAGTTCTCACAGAACCCAGCAAACATTTTCATGACAGATCCACACAGTTATATACGAAGTTTTTAAAGCCTCATAAAAATATGTATTCTTTTTGTCTTCAGATTAGAGAAGGTTTATCAAAGGATATTAATTTATTTATTTTTTGGCTAAATGATAGCAACGAAATGCTTTTATTTGAATTTATCTCTGTTTTTGGGATTTATCGCCAAATGGTACTGCAGAGACCTATGTTAAAGGGTTTTCTTAGTTTTTATCCACAACAACTGAGAAACAAAATACCAAATAATAAGATTGTAAGAAACTCTGTGGGAATTCCTCAAAGTACCCAAAATTAGGAAGTGCCGTTATATAGGTCCCATATATAAAAATCAGCTTATCCTCACAAAATTTAGGAGATATTTTTAAAAAACATATCTATAATTTGCAAGTGCGGTATGAATTAAAAAAAAGAGCCAGGTAACTCATAATTGGGCTTAACATTGTGATCGAAACCTTGAAAATATCGAAAATTAGGAAGTATGGTAACATGGGGCCCATACCAAATAGTGAAGCAATCTTAACCTTTTTTTTAGCAAGGAGAAATTATATCTACTCTTAACTCTTAATGTCAGGCTACACATGATTTGACTTAAAATTGTGGTTGAAACATTGAAAATACCAATAAGTAAAAAAGCTTTAAATTCAGCCGGGCCGAACTTTGAATACCCTCCACCATTTGGTACAAATTTGGCAATTTTCAAAAAATTAAAATCCATTAAAAATTCTGTTAAAATCTTTAAAATACCGAATGTAACCGTATATTAGGGTTTGTACGACGACGTGGACCTGCATACGCAACTTTTGTCATAAGCCTGCACAGACAATTTTCTGGCATAGGCTGTAGTATCCATTACGAATTTTAAATACAAAATTTGAAACAATTCCGGTAAGTAATGTCGCTAAAATCATCAAAATACCGAATATCAGGGGGTACCGTTATACGAGGGCTATATGAAGATGTGGACCTGCACGGACAGTTTTCTGTCACAGACTGTAATATGCATTACGAACTTCGAATACCAATATTGAAAAACTTCCGGTAAATAATGTCGCTAAAATCATCAAAATACTGAATATAGGTATAGTTAGGTACCGTTATATGGGGGCTATACAAAAACGTGGACCTGCACAGACAATTTTCTATCATAGGTTGTAGTATCCATTACGAACTTCGAATACCAATATTAAAACAATTCCGGTAAATAATATCGCTAAAATCATCAAAATACCGAATATCGTGGCGGTACCGTTATATGGGGGCTATATGAAGACGTGGACCTAGTCGGCTCATTTTCTGTCTTAGGCTGTAGTATCCATTACGAAATTCAAATACCAAATTTGAAATAGTTCCGGTAAATAATGTCGCTAAAATAATCAAAATACCGAATATCGGGAGGTACCGTTATATGGGGGCTATACGAAGAAGTGGACCTACTCGTCTCATTTTCTGTCTTCGGCTGTAGCATCCATTACGAACTTCCAATACTAAATTTAAAATAGTTCCGGTAAATAATGTCGCTAAAATCATCAAAATATCGAAAATCGGGGGGTGCCGCTATGTGGGGGCTATACGAAGACGTGAACCTACATGGCCCATTTTCTGTCTTATGCTGTAGTATCCATTTCGAACTATTTGAAACCTATTTTGAAACAATCCCGGTAAATAATGTCGCTAAAATCATCAAAATACTGAATATCGGGGAGAACCGTTATATGGTGGCTATACGAAGACGAGGACCTGCACGGACAATTTTCTGTCATAGGCTGTAGAATCCATTACGAACTTCAAATGCAAAATTTAAAACAATTCCGGTCAATAATGTCGCTAAAATCATCGAAATACCGAATATCGGGAGGTACCGTTATATGGGGGCTATACCAAGACGAGGACCTGCACAGACAATTTTCTGTCATAGGCTGTAGCATCCATTACGAACTTCGAATACTAATATTGAAAGAATTCCGGTAAATAATGTCGCTAAAATCATCAAAATACCGAATATCGGGGAGAACCGTTATATGGTGGCTATACGAAGACGAGGACCTGCACGGACAATTTTCTGTCTTATGCTGTAGTATCCATTACGAACTTCGAATACCAATTTTGAAACAACTCCGGTAAATAATGTCGCTAAAATCATCAAAATACCGAATATCGGGAGGTACCGTTATGTGGGGGCTATACCAAGACGAGGACCTGGACAGATAATTTTCTGTCATAGGTTGTAGTATCCATTACGAACTTCGAATGCCAAATTTGAAGTAATTCCGGTAAATAATGTCGCTAAAAGCATAAAAATACCGAATATCGGGAGGTACCGTTATATGGGGGCTATACGAAGACGTGGACCTACTCGGCTCATTTTCTGTCTTAGGCTGTAGTATCCATTACGAACTTCAAATACCAAATTTGAAATAGTTCCGGTAAATAATGTCGCTAAAATCATCAAAATACCGAATATCAGGGGGTACCGTTATACGGGGGCTATACGAAGACGTGGACCTGCACAAACAATTTTCTATCATAGGCTGTAGTAGCCATTACGAACTTCAAATACCAAATTTGAAATAGTTCCGGTAAATAATGTCTCTAAAATCATCAAAATACTGAATATCGGGGAGAACCGTTATATGAGGGCTATACGAAGACGTGAACCTATATGGCCCAATTTCTGTCTTATGCTGTACTATCCATTACGAACTTCGAATACCAATTTTGAAACAATTCCGGTAAATAAATCATCAAAATGCCGAACATCGGGAGGTACCGTTATATGGGGGCTATACGAAGACGTGAACCTACATGACCCATTTTCTGTCTTATGCTTTGGTACTCAATACGAACTTCGAATACCAATTTTGAAACAATTTCTGTAAATATTGTCGCTAAAATCATCAAAATACCGCATATCGGGAGGTACCGTTATGTGGGGGCTATACGAAGACGTGAACCTACATGGCACATTTTCTGTCTTATGCTGTAGTATCCATTACAAACTTCAAATACTAAATTTGAAATAGTTCCGCTAAATAATGTCGCTAAAATCATCAAAATACCGAAAATCGGGGGGATACCTTTTTAAGGGGCTATACGAAGACGTGAACCTACATGGCCCATTTTCTGTCTTATGCTGTAGTATCCATTACGAACTTCGAATACCAATATTGAAACAATTCCGGTAAATAATGTCGCTAAAATCATCAAAATACCGAATATCGGGGAGGCACCGTTATATGGGGCTATACGAAGACGTGGACCTGCACAGACAATTTTCTGTCACAGGCTGTAGTTTCCATTACGAACTTCAAATACTAAATTTGAAATAGTTCCGGTAAATAATGTCTCTAAAATCATTAAAATACCGAATATCAGGGGGTAAAGTTATATGGGGGCTATACGAAGACGTGAACCTACATGGCCCATTTTCTGTCTTATGCTGTAGTATCCATTACGAACTTCGAAGACCAATTTTGAAACAATTTCGGTAAATAATGTCGCTAAAATCATCAAAATACCGAATGTCAGGGGGTGCCGTTATCCTGCATAGACAATTTTCTGTCCTAGGCTGTAGTATTCATTACGAACTTCAAATACTAAATTTGAAATAGTTCCGGTAAATAATGTCGATAAAATCATCAAAATACCGAATATCGTGGGGATACCGTTATATGGGGGCTATACGAAGACGTGGACCTACATGGCCCATTTTCTGTGTTAGGGTGTAGTATCCATTACGAACTTCGAATACAAAATTTTAAGTAATTCCGGTTAATAATGTCGCTAAAATCATCAAAATACCGCATATTGGGAGGTACCGTTATGTGGGGGCTATACGAAGACGTGAACCTACATGGCCCATTTTCAATACCAAATGTCCTGCAGACATAGTACACATTTGAGTAAATTTTTATCAACTTACTTCATTTCGTTCGGAAGCTAGAGTGATTTCCACAGACGGATAGACGGACAGACGGACGGACTTTTGGAATTTTTCAGATGCAGATTGCTTGGAATTCGTTCATTTTAGGTATATTATGTCTGGGGCAATATTATAGATAACAATACTAGGATTATTTTGAGCAAAAATTTTAACCCTCAAGTGGGTTAACAAAGGGGTCATTTTTGTGCTTTTATTAGAATATGGCTAAAAATTCATTTTAAATGGAATAGTAGCATGTCAAAATATTCTACAAAATTATTTGTCATAAAATTCTACTATAGGCCCTAGAAGACGTCAGGAGGCTAAGTCTTACCTAACAGTCCGAAATTCATATATATTAAAAACACATTTTAGGGTTAAAGCTGTACTTTGTGTGAGTTTACGCAAAAATCTCCAACTTAGCATCATTTTAGAAGAATGACGTCAAAGACGAAAATATTCTTCACCGAATTTCACTATTAGTCAACAAAGAGAAGAGATCTCTATCTCCGCTCAAAATAAAAAAAGCTCGAAAATATTTTGAGGCAAATACTATTTTTTCTACGACCCCTCCTCCTTTCGACCCAACTTTACACGTTAGAATTGGGTCTTACGGAGATTTTTTTTTCTACAGAAATATTTTAACAATTTCTTATCTCAGCCAGTCGAAAATAATTACAAATAAATCTCAATTCGACGTAATTCAACCATCAAGAGGGCTCTTAAGTGTTTTTCACTTTTTTTTTTATCAATTTCACTTACATGTAACGATTCTTCATAACTCCTGCAATACTTGGCGAAATGTTGCAACTCGAGCAAATTGTGAGCAAACTATAAAAATCGTCGAAAAGCAATAGAAAGTGTTTCAGTTCCTTTTTTGTACTCGAAGTTGATTCGTGTAGAACGCAATTGGTGACAATGAAACTCTCTAACGTAGTTCTAGTTTTGACCGCCTTTCTGATGGTTTTTGTCGTAAGTCAGAATCGGGAATTTTTTTGAAAAAGAAGTTGAATTTTAATTTTTTGGAATTTTATTGAAATCAGGTTAATGTCAACTCAAAATCTGTAGACGTGAGTGCCATTAGTCATGGCGATGATGCCGAACATTCTCAACCAATTGACCCTAAAGCTGTCGCCACTACTGTAGCTGTGGAAGTTACAACGACCAATGTTCCTGAATCTTCAGAAAATACAGATAGTACTCCGGCCGATGTAACAGAGGTCACCGAAGTTACTGAGGGCTCAGGAGCAACGGAAGTTACTGAGGGCACAGAAACTACCGAAGACACTGAAACTACCGAAGTAACTCCCGTGGTAACTGAAGCTCCCGAGGGCACTGAAGCTCCTAAAGGCATGAAAGGTCGCAAAGGCCTGGATTCATCACAACCTCCACTGACCTTGGAAGAACCTCACCAATTTATCGATCATTTAATGAAAGTTGTGGCCGAAATTGTAAATTCTGTGGTAAAATCAAAATTTAAACCTATTCTTCCCATCCAGGATCCGGATAATTTCTATATTTTCGCAAATTTCAGGTTGATGCTGTCCACAATAGCCGAACACATTTGCCACCCAGTGAGTAACCTTTGCAACCACATTTAGATAACCGACCAAGACCTCCTTTCCCTCAACCCGTTGAGGTAGAAAATTAATTTTGAAAATTCGTAGAGCAAATAATGTTCAAAATCTTTTCTCAGGTTTTATTTAAATAAATTATTGGCGGTTGTTAATGATATAAAAAATATTAAATTCAATTACTCCTCCTTTATAAACATGAATACTCTGCTGTAGCCTTAAGGCCTAAAACAGATCACAAATTAAATCGTGACTTCGGCGTGAAAATGCAATACTGTTGTCAGCTACAAGTGGCAACAGTGTTGTATTTTCACGCCGAAGCCACGATTAAAGCTTTGATCTGTTGCACCTTCTTACGGTCCGCCTAAAAATATGCTTTGAAAACACATCACCGAACCTCTCAGAAGGCCAACCTATCTAAAAACAAGTAAGAAAGCTGTAAGTTCGGCCGGGTCGAACTTTTAATACCCTCCACCATTTGGTACAAATTTGGCAATTTCCAAAAAAATAAAATCCGTTAAAAACTCTGTTGAAATCTTAAAAATACCAAATGCCTATATGACACGTAGACCTGCATAGGCAACTTTTGTCATAAGTTATAACAATATATAAATGCGAAACTTGAAGAAAAATCTGTTTATAATGTGGCTAAAATCATCAAAATATCGAATATCGGGGGGTACCGTTATATGGGGGCTATATGAAAACGTGGACCTGCACAGACAATTATCTGGCATGGGCTGAAGTATCCATTACGAACTTCACATGCGAAATTTGAAACAATCCCGGTAAATAATGTCGCTAAAATCATCAAAATACCGAATATCGGGGGGTACCGTTATATGGGAGCTATATGAAGACGTGGATGTACACGGCCCATTTTCTGTATTATGCTGCAGTATCTATTACGAACTTTAAATGCCAAATATGGAACGATTCCGTTAAATAATGTCGCTGAAATCATCAAAATACCGAATATCGGGGGTACGTTATATGAGGGCTATACGAAGACGTGAACCTACATGGCTCATTTTTTGACTTAGGATGTAGTATCCATTACGAACTTCAAATACCAAATTTGAAACGATTCCCGTAAATAATATCGCTAAAATCATCAAAATACCGAATATCGGGGGGTACCGTTATATGGGAGCTATATGAAGACGTAGACCTGCACAAATAACTTTCTGTCTTAGGCTGCAGTATCCATTACGAACTTCAAATGCCAAATTTGAAACAATTCCGGTGAATAATGTCGCTAATATCATCAAAATACCGAATATCGGGAGGTACCGTTATATGGGGGCTATATGATAACTTGGACCTACATAGCCCATTTACGAACTCAACCTGCCTACTGGCAAAATATACATGTATGCAAAATTTTAGCCTTCTATCTCAATTTGTTCGAAAGATAGTGTGATTACAACAGACAGACGGACAGACAGACAGACAGACAGACGGACATGGCTAAATCGTCTTAGAATTTTACGCTGATCAAGAAAATATATATACTTTGTTGGGTCTGACATGAGTATTTCGATGAGTTACAAACGGAATGACAAAATTAATATACCCTCCATAGTATGGTGGAGGGTATAAAAAAGGGTAAAGTGATTGACCGACTGACTTAATGATTCATTAAGGACCAAGCGAAAAGGCTGTAGCTGGAAATTTTTGGGTGAGATTCATTCTTGGACCGAAAGGTTCAAATAAGTCAGGGTTTTTGGAATTTTGTACTAGAACGGTACGAAAAGTAAAAAAAAGGTACTAAATATGGTACTCTTTGTATTTGAGAAATCAATAGAGCTAGAACTCTTAAATTGTGGAATAGGGGTCATTTATGGAGTTTATGATGAATGTACCAAAGTGTACGAAAAGTACTAAAATGTACCACATTTGGTACTACTTCGTATCATGTGAACGGTTAGAGCTAAAAACTTGAAATTTTGGAATGGCAATCAAGGTTGAGGAGTAGAGTCGATGTAAGGAGGTAGTTTTGAAAGTGTGTACTCATACATACGAAAAGTATTAAATGGTACTAAATTTAGTACAATTTGAATTTGGAGGAACGGATGGAGCTGGAATCGTGAAATTTGAAATTAAAATTAATGGCGGAGTGTTAGATTGGGATATGGAGGAAGTTTTCGAAATTTGTACTTATGTTCACGAAAAGTACTAAATTGTACACAATTTACTACAATTACGATTTGGGTAAACCGATAGAACTGGAATTCTTAAATTTAGAAATAAGATTACTATTGCATCCTGGGACTAAAAAATGTAGGTACTAAATTTGGTACAATTTAAATTTTGAGAGAACCAATAGAGTTGGAATCCTGAAATTTGGAAATAAGATTACCAATTGTATTGAAGTTCTGAGGAGTGTGGTAGTTTTGGAAGTTCGTGCTTTGTGTATTTAAATTGTACTAAATTTGGTATAATTTAAATTTTGGGTGAACCGGTAGAGGTGGAATCCTGAAATTTGGAAATAAGATTACTATTGTATTGCATATTTTGGAGATTCGTACTTAGGGGTACTTAATGGTACTAAATTTGGTACAATTTTAATTCTGCGAAAACCAATAGAGTTGGAATTCTGAAATTTGAAAAGACTGTCGGAGTGTAGGATTGGGATATGCAGGTAGTTTTGGAAATTTGTACTTATATATACTAAATTTGGATTTGGGTGAACCGATAGAGCTGGAGTTCTGAAATTTAGAAATAAGATTAATATTGCATTTTAGGACTGAAGAATGTAGGTAGTTTTGAAAATTCGTACTATATGGTACTAAATTTGGTACAATTTTAATTCTGGGTGAACCGCTAGAGGTGGAATCCAGAAATTTGAAAATAAGATTTCTATTGGACTGTATGATGTAGGTAGTTATAAAAATTTGTACTTATGTGTACTAAATTTGGTACACTTTGGATTTGGGTGAAAAAATAGAGCTGGTATCCTAAAAATGGGAAATAATATTACTGTCGGAGTGGAGGATTGGGATATGTAGGTAGTTTTGGAAATTTATATTTATTGTACTAAATTTGGTACAAATTGGATTTTGGGTGAACCGATAGAGCTGGAATCCAAAAATTTGAAATTGGGATTACTGTAGGAGTGTAGGATGTGGGAGAGGGTATGTAGGAAGCTTTGAAATTTCGTACTTCTGTGTACTACATGGTACTTAATTTGGTACAAATTAGAATTGTGATGAACCAATGAAGCTGGAATTTTAAAATTGGAATGATAGTCACTGATGGAGTGCAGGATCGATGTACCAAAGGGTGGTTTCGGCAAAAAAAAAAAAAATTCTACTATATTTGGTACAATTCGGTATTGGGTGAACAGATAGAGCTTGAAATCTGAAATTTGGTATTAGGTTGGCTGTTCATGTGTATCCGGGACATATGGAGGTGATTTCTGGGATGCGTAATATAATTGTACGAAAAGTACTGAATGCTCCTTTATTTTGTATTGGATTACTGATGGTACCTGTGTTTGAGATTCGCCAGTGGTTTGGAAATTTGTACTACAATTGTACGAAAAGTACTAAGTGGTAGTAAATTGGGTATAGGGTGAAGAGATAGGGCTTGAACTCTGAAATTTGAAATTGGGGTCGCTATGCATGTGCAGCCTGGACACATGTAGGTGGCTTCAGAAATGTGTACTATAATCGTACGCAATGTACTGAATGGTACTATATTTGGCATTGGATGAAGGGATAGAGAAAAAAATTCGAAATTTTATCTGATATCTGTGTTTGAGATTTGGCGGTGGTTTCGAAATGTGCACTATAATTGTATGAAAGTGCGATAACTGTTGGTCTCTGGGATTTTATCATGGAACGGTTTTGCAATTGTACGCAAAGTACTAAATATTACTACATTTGTATAGAGTAGAGTATAGAGTGGTATAGAGTAAGCCGAAATGGAGTTGGAAAGCTTACGAGCGTACGAAAATAATTAAATATGGTATTGGGTGAAGGTATGCAGATGAAATCCTAAAATTTGATATAGATGTCACTGTGGTTAAGAAATGAAGATGATTTTGGACTATATTCGTACTAAATGTATTATAATTGTACTAAACGGTACTAAATTCGGTAAGGGTGGAAATTACAGAGCTGAAATACTGAAATTGCATATTGAGGTGGTAGTTTTGCAAATGCCTATTATAATAGTTAGAAAAATGACTAGGATTGAGAGATGTAGATAGTTCTGGATATGCATACCAAATGCTACATTTAGTATTGGGTTAAGGGATGGAGCTAAAACTCAGAAATTTGATATTGAGGTCACTATAGCTTTCAGAGTTTACATATGGAAACGTTGAAATTGTTTTGGACAAAAAAATTGAATGTGAAAAGGAGGGAAATTACCCTCTCTTTTTAGTTACCTTTGCGATGTAAACTTTTAAAACCCTAATATACGTGTCCTCTATTTTTAGTTCTGCTTACATAATCTCTAGGATTTTGCCTGTCACTATGTTCCTGAAAACTATTGTTTTTAAAGTCTAAAATGAAAATTTATATTCTTAAACATATACTGATTTTTAAATACCCATATTAGTTGTATACCCACAGCCATATGGCTAAAGAGGGTATCATTTAAGACAGTCAAAACGTGCCTCATCGCTCACGATAACTCTCGAAGGTGGTACCCGATTTGGTCCAAACTTGATATATCGTAATATTATTATCAAACTTAGATCGAGTTCGGAGATGGGCAACATCAGTTCACTCCTTCTGGTACCTCCCCCACAAAAGATCGAAAATTTACAAAAAAAAAAAAATATTTTATTGCACAGAAGGAGATATGATAACCCGATTTTGCTTGTACTTTGCTAATCATAATATTTGCATTAGGGCTAAGTCTAGTGCGAAAATGGAAAATATCAGCCCACTCCATCAAGTACCTTCCACACAAAGGCTCAACATTTTGAATATCCATGAAACTCATAAAACGAGAAGTTAACATCCGATACCATGCAGACTTGGTACATCTCAAAACTACCTTCAACACAAGGTCTGTAATAAAGATGGTAGAAATCGAACCACTCCTTCTTGTACCACCCCCACAAAGGGTCAACGGGTTTTGAATAACCAAAACTATTATAAAATCCGATTTCATTCGATTCCCTTCATATTTCACTCATCCATCCATTTTTTCCTCTA